TTTAATTATTTACTGTGATTGGAATAGCAAACTTGTTTGTTAGTTAAATTATAAGCATTGTTATTATTTGAGTTTTGTGTTCGAATGGTTAATAAAAATAAGTAAGAATCATTTGTAAAGCTCGTGTTGTTTTTTTAAGTCGTTTCCACTCTGGTATCTAAAATATATTTTAATAATTTTACTTAATTGTACTTTTGACTATTTGTAATAATTTCTCTTTTTAATTTATCTAATTTGAAATAAAATATAATGAATTGTATTACAACTTTGGATATATATAGAATGTACTTAAAAATTTACATTGCTGTGCCCTTATAAGGTTCATGTTTGATACTGTATGTACTAATTTATGACCTACTTTTTAACAACACGTATGCAAAAAATAAATTAAAAAAAAATCTAATTTCTAATAATGCTTCCGTACAATCCAGACCCCCCGCAGCAACTTGTAGAAGAAAACTTGGTCATTTATGCCTCTCCGATTTGACAATGAATCAAGTTTGAAATATTGCAGTCGTCGCTAATATTCAGTTTTGTAACTAAAGCTAGGGGCCCTAAAAACTAGATATCGTGTAAATACTTTTTTGTACACGTACAATGTACCCTGTGCCATAATCAATGTGCATCTGATAAGTGGGGTTCCATATGACGCTTGCACACTCAATGCCACTACGGACAAGAATTGTATAAATAAATTAAGGTCTTCATATTTTTGAAGCTTTTTAGTTTTGGTAAATTTTATGTGATTACATTTACTGACATTTAGTTGCATATAGGTAGTTTTTATCGCATTAAAGTTTTATACGATTAAGATCTTCCTGCAACATTTGTTCATCTTCCGCGGAGCGAATGGATTTAATTAATTTCATATCATCAGCAAATAGATAATAGTCATTGTGGTGTACGTGACCAACGAGGTCATTTATAAAAATAAGAAACAGGATCGGACCAAGTTGCGTGCCCTGTGGAACGCCAGAGGTTGTCACATATGGTTTTGAGGAAAACCCGTTCGTGACAACAGTCAAAAGCCGATTCTCCCCTACCATAAATGTAATGAACCGCCTATTCCGAAAGTTGCTACTTGTAATATAAAAATATTATGATGAAAATATTCAACATACTATTACTGAGATCTCTATACTATCTAGAAAAAGAGCTAATGGTTTTTAAACAGCTCAACTGATGTTCATTAGCGAAGAACCATTGCGATAAAATTAGCCTTTAAATAAATATTAGTCCCACCGTTTGAAAGATACATTGCCACTGACAGACATACTGAAAGACATATAGATAGATACATGGCAGATATAGGTTTCAAACTTGTTGCTCCCCTCTTCTTGCGTCGAGGTGAAAAATAATCACGTGGTAAAATTTAGCCCGTATGCAATTCGATTGCTTTGCACGTGAAATACCCTTCAGGTTTAGGGGTTTTCATTTTCATGATAAGTGGCTGTTTCAGAAAGCTATCGATATGTGATTAATAATATTCACAGTCGCTACTGGCTGCAGCGACCCCAAATAATAACGCTAACCTTTTTAGTTTCGCGCGATTGCATCGATGCAAACGCCTATAAATCACAGGGTCGCGATGCCATAGCGCGATTCACAAACGCGCGTTTGTATCGCTGCTTAAAGTCGCCTGTGTAGCCGCTCTTATGTGGAACTAGAGAATTAGCAATACAAAAGCAAAATGCGCGAAGCTACGCCATGATCGTTAGTAGTATTTATATACTATCTTATTAACATAAGATACCCGAACATAAATAATCAATTTTGAAATTAAGAACATAGAGATTCAAAGTTTTATTTTGAAGTTGAAAATACTGACCGTTTTCGACAATCTACCGTAACCTGAAACCAAACAAGTACCCGTGTATTCTTTGCGAGCAGAGGCTACAGGAATCGGTGCCACGTATGCATTAAAGATGAATGGTGTTGTTAAAAACTGTAAAAAGATAAAAAATATATGAGTTTCATCAATTAACCGATATCGTGAACCAAAAAAAAAACAATTTATTGTTTAATCTTCATACTACTAAGATTCACTTTTTAGCCTCTTCGACATGACATTCATATTCATATTCATTTATTGCATGTCCATACATTGCTAATTCTAGATGTTTCAGTGTTGGGCAGAGAACATGTGACGTCCTGCAAGGGCATAGCAACTGCAGAAGACAGAGTTATTTTCTTACTTGTATATTGCTTAATACATTGCCTACTTTAAAACATTATACTAATTTTTATAATTATTAATTTTTACAATAGCATCACATTACTATATTCAATTATCGTGAATACGAAATACATACATTATACGTTCAATAATTGTTGTTTTAAAAATAAGGTCATTTTATCAATTCCAAGGTCCAAAGGAATGATGAGTGAATCTTAGCAGTATGAGATGATGAGCTTATAGAAGAGATTAGAGGTTAAAAGGAACGAGTCTGGTTCCATGTTTACGTGATAAAACTGAATTATTTAAATTCGTATCATGACTTGCAAACACAAAGTTGAACGGCGATTGTACGGCGAGATGATGAGTTTTACTTTTTAAATCATTATTATTGTCTCTGATCTGCTAATACTGGCTTATAAAAAAAGGTGGCTGTACATCATGGGAGGTTTCAAGGCGTGATAACCGATTGTGCTCAAAAGGGTAACATTATAGTTTTTTCTCTTTCTAATATAATTTTGTTACAGATTATACAAAATACGTTTCAATCTGCTTTTCAAACTGCTTCAAACTGCTTTTGGCGATGAAGCACCATGCAAGACGACTATTTATAGCTGGTTTGAAGAATTCAAAAGCGGTCGTGTGAATCTCAGTGACGAATTTCGTGAAGGTCGCCCGTCCACTGCTGTGAACAACAAAAACATCGATGCTGTGCACCGTATGATCAACACAGACAAGCATGTGACTTACTATGAGTTTCGGGCATCTTTAGACATAGGCATGAGTCAAATACAATCAATACTACACAAACATTTGGGTGTGAAAAAGCAGTGCTCTCGGTGGATCTTACACAATTTGACTGTGGCTCAAAAAACGGATCGTGTCACTTGGTGCAATGCAATGCTTACCAGATTCAACGAAGGGGCGTCAAATTTAGTGTGGGACATAGTAACAGGTGACGAAACATGGATTTATAGTTACGATCCCAAAACAAAGCAGCAATCGAGCGTATGGGTCTTTCGAGATGAGCCGAAACTAACCAAAGTGGCGCGCGTGCAAAGTGCCTCTAAGCGGATGATTGCTTCTTTTTTTTTAATAAAACTGGACACGTGGCTACTGTTGCTTTGGAGAATCGTTGTACCGTGAATAGTGATTGGTACACGATCATTTGTTTACCGGAAGTTATTGACAAACTCCGTAAACATAACGCCGTATCATCTTGCACCACGATAATGCCAGTTCTCACACGGCCAGACAGACAAATGAATTTTTGAAGGTGAACAACGTTGACCTTATGGGCCATCCCGCGTACAGTCCCGACCTGGCACCTAGTGACTTTTATTTATTTCCAAAAATTAAGAACCAGTTACGCGGTCTACGATTTTCATCACCTGAAGAGGCTGTCGAAGAGTATGAAAAATATGTTTCAGAGATTCGTATAAAAAAGTGCATTAACGCTAACGGAGAATATTTTGAGAAACAATAAATTCATTTCTGACCACTTATAGTACTTTTTTCTTATTCATTCCGGAAACTTATAGTGCGCCCCACATATTTGTCGGTATTTAAAAGTTCTTTCCAATCTACAAAGAAAATGAATTTAATATTTATATACATATGAAGTATATACGCATATATATATGTATTTATGTGTATATAGGTATATATAGCTTATACAAGTATATAGCTATATAAAATTAAGTGTTAAATATAACACTTAATTTTATATATATTGAGTTCCACTATATATCATAATTATTTATAATCTTGTTCCTATCTGTTTTTAATTATCATGATAAACACCCCTGTTCAATATTTTGAACCAGCTCTCCAATTGACTAGCATAGAATGCCTAATGGCATTAAGTCAGCCATTTGTACTGTTTTGTGTGCAAGCAGCAATGTCAGCATAGCTGTGTTCCGGTTCTGACAGGCGAAGGTGCTGGTGAAATTACAGGCACATGGGATTTGTCGACTTATGTCTCAGTGTGACGGGCGCAGTCTTAGTGCCCCTCGATCTTTGCGATTTAAAGCTATGTGTGTGGCACTGCAAGAGTTATGGACAGGCGTGTAGCGTACCATTAGGCGCACGACTTATTCGTCCCGTCACTTGATATTATAAAAAAAAGTTAAAATAAACATAAAATGACCTATTTGTTCAGTAAAGCAGAGGTGCACCTAGCGCAGACATAGGGAAAGAAGACTTAAGGTTCAGTACAATACTTGGTTTGCTCACTCGCTCTGAAGACGAGAGAGAGTTTTTTGGTAATTTTATTTATTATTTACCTATATTAGAAATAAAGAATCTCTGTGAATGATTAAAATAAATATTGTAATTATGAAAACATTTCAACCACATTGAAAATAAAGCGTAATAGCCTAGCAAAAACGTAGTACTTTAATTGTGAATATTAGTAACTCTTGAATTCTTTATTAGTGTGAGTAGGTTTATTTTAGTTCTTTATTAGTGTGTTTAGTTCTTTAAAGGCGCGTTGTTGTACATTAATATTTTTCATTTTAAGCACGATAAGATTGAAAGTCGTCGTATTCAACGTAGTTATGTTATGCAGGGAGTAGAGAAAGCGAAAGAGCAGGGGGTAGTGGAATCTCGAGAAATATGTCGCTCTCGTGGTCCCACTAGTGGGACAAATTAGTAGGACTACGAGCCAATAGAGCGGTGTTGTCATTTCTCTCTGTAAAATATAATTGAATACCATGCAAGTCAAATATATTGGGATAGTTAATATCTGGTTTGTCTTTCTTGGAAGGGAGTCTGTAGGCTCCCGAGAAAATTTCACCCTAAGCAGAATGTCTGCAAGAATAAATGTATCACATAAATGGAACACTTGTCGCCATCTATCGTCCACCAAAGCTTTCAATTGTAATGCAGCCACACGCCACTACTCAGAAGTAATGCTCTTAATCATTAGATGGCGCGTTATAAATTAATCAAAATGTTCTCAACCTATAATCTCAGTACGGAGTGCTAAAAAGCTGAACCCAAAAGTTCGTGGTATTACACCTATTTGCCAAGTTTTATTGAAATCGGTTACCGGAAAGTGCACGAAACTGGATTCATCAAAATAGGGCTATTTTGCCACCCTTAGAGGTGGAATATTTTAAAGAAACTTAAATGGGGGTCACTACTGAGGTACCCTCTTTCCAATAAAAAAAAGAATCGTTAAATCAGTTTACAAATTTTATCGGACTTATCGCTTAACATCATCATCCTCGTTCAGCCATACGACGCCCACTGCTGGGCATAGGCCTCCCCCAACAATCTCCACGACGATCGGTCCTGCGCTGCCCGCATCCATCGGCTTCCCGCGACCTTTACCAGATCGTCGGTCCACCTGGTGGGGGGGCCTACCCACTGAGCGTTACCGGTGCGTGGTCGCCATTGAAGAACCTTTACGCCCCAAAGGCCATCGGTTCTCCTAGCTATGTGCCCTGCCCACTGCCACTTCGCTTAA